TCCTTGTGCTGCCTAGTCCCCACATCTGTCTGTCCATCTGTCTGTCCATCTGTTGAGCAGCAGAGCAGGGCGAGCCTGAGTGTGACCCATCATCACCTGCTCCACACCCAATGTGCAAACCAGAGCCACCACTTACCTGCTCACAGCCAGGACTCCTCCTTGGGTAAAAGATGTAGCTGGGTGAAATGATTTCACAGCAGAGCTGTTTGTTTAAGGCATCTTTAGTGATGCTTAATTAACTCCCCAACAGTCCTGTTCAATGGCTTCCCTCTTCCAAGCAGCTGTCCCAAGGCACACAGGGTCCCTTCAAAGCCCTGGGGGGACACTGGGTGAGCCTGGGGACCTGGCACCCTCCCGCCTGTGCCATAGGGTGTGGAGGTGGCACTGCTGTGGCGGCGAGTCCAAGGGGATGCACAGGACCCTCTTCTCAGGATCAAGGCAGGGCCATTTCCCTGCTGCTCACCCGAGGTGTGCACAGCTGGGAACAGGGGGATTTCACCAGAAAGACTCCTTGCTGAGACATGGATCCCCCTGGAGACCAAACCAACCCCGTCCCCTCCCCAGGCACCGCGCGCGGAGGAACCCAGTCAGCAGCGGCTGCGCGGTTCTCATATCAGTTTTAATAGCAACATCAGAGTACTAAATATACAGAGGGCAAGGGGACAGGGTGGCATTTACAGTGCTTCCAAATACACGGCTTCCACGGACAGAGACAAATTAAAAACCGCTCAGGAAGAAAAAAGGTCCTTTTGGCACTGCCCCGGCTCGCGCCGTGGGCGGGTGGGGCAGCCACCATGCCAAAAGGTGACGGCGCTTCCATTGGGTGCCTCCTGGTGCAGGATTTTCCCAGGAAAAGAAAGAAGTACTCAGTGATGTAAAACCGGTTACAAAGTAAAACTGTCTCATGTTAGAAAACGGGTTTTGGCAAAATAAAAATAAAGTGTAAACTTCACTGTACATGTCCTATCAAACAAAAAATAAACCCCTTGGAACCTAAAATAGAAGAATCTGGGTCAGAAATCTGTGCCCTTAGTGTACATTTTTGTGCAACATATACTTTTTTCAAAGTAAATATTATCTTCACTCGTGACACTATTAAAAATGTACCTACAAATGCTGAGAGTAATTCTTAAAAATGTGTGAGAAGCGTTAGATGAGCTCAGGAGACCAAACCCACAGACTTGGAAATGGCAAGGGATTTCTTGCTGGTTTTGAAAAAATCGCGTACAGATTTAATATCTGGTTGAACGAAAATTCCAACCACATTCATCCTGAAATGGGTGGGCTGAGATAGGATAGATATATTTTTGTTCTATTTTATTTTTTTTTAATTTTTTTTTTTACAAAATATATATTATGTGTAGAATATCTACTATTTAACTACCGTTTCAGCTGAACTACCTTCCTTCGCAAACAAGCTGCCAGTGGAGAAGAGGTAACCTGAAATCCGTCCCCGCGCCAGCTCTGCCATTGCTACGGTGACCTCCTGGCAGGCTCGGTGCCCTTGACCCCATGGTGTCCCATGGAGCACTGGTGTTCTCTGGAGCACGGCTCCTGCCACCACCACCGGCCGCCCTTTCTCCAGCTGGGAAGACAGAGTGAAGGTAAACGATCGGATCTGGAGAGACAGGCGGCTGCCCAGGACCGGCTCTGCCCGGGGTGCTGTGGGGTGAAGCCGCCCTCGGGGCTTCCAAAGGTCAGGGGATTGAGGAGCAAACCCTGCCTGCCCTACCTGTTGGTGCCATGATGTGGGAGCTCAGACCTGGAGCCCCAAACCTGCTCAGTTCGGTGCAGGATAAAGCCCACCGGTGCCAGTGGCAGCAGTGGCACTGACCCCTGGCCCGGTGGAAGCGGCGCATCCTGTGGCTCCTGCTCAGGGTTTGCAAGGGATGTGGAGGGAGGAGAGTCCCAGACGGTCCTGGGAAGCCTGGGCTTGCTGCAGAGCCCAAGGAGAGCCAACCTCTCCTTGCCATGGGTGGCTTGTGCCACGCCACATTCTCCTCTAAGAGCCACAAGTGACACACAGACACCCCATGACAGGTCTGGGGAATGTGGCAGCCTCTTGGCTGCCATGGTGTGTTTCTCAGGGACTGTTCAGGGGCTAAGGAATCTGGAAAATGAACTGAAAACAAACAAGCAGCAGCGGGCTGAGGGCTTACACAAAGCAAGGAGCAAAACTTTTCTTTTTTCAAGCTTCCAGGACCTAGGGGTGAGACGATGTGCCCAAAACATGACAAAGCTCCCACAGGAGCGTGTCTGAGAACACCATGCTTCCCTGCTTTTCCACGGTGGGAAGATCTCCTCAATAGACTATGCCATGGATATGCGACTTTCTATTCTCATTTCTTTCTTGTTTTTTGGCTTTCATCAATAGGAAGGAATGAGATCAACACAGTTCATTTCTCTTCACTGTGCAAGACCTTGGGACGCCTGGATCCTGCCTCGTCCATCACTGCATCAGCAGCTCCATCCCAGCCCTTCCTCCTCCTCCTCTCCCTCCACTGCAGTGGCCCAGCATGGATGGGGGGAGGCTTCCTCTGATAAAGTGCAAGTGCTGTTGGTCCTTATAAATAAGGGAAGATTGTGCATCTACTTTTGTTCCCTGGTTCACTGCTCAGCTCCGGGGAGACCAGGACATGTCCTGCTGCAGACTGGGGGGGGGAAGCTCATGCAAGTCCTGCCCTCTGAAACCTGTGCCCATGCTCAGGGTTGCAGTGATTCACCTTCCTTCTCTCTCTCTCTCTCACACACACACACACACACACACACACACACACACACGGTTTCCCTTCCTCTTCCCCAGCTCCACAGGGAATTTCCTGTGAGCCAGGTGCCTCTCCATCACCACTGCCATCACCATCACTGCTTGCACCAGTGCTGCCCTGGCATCTCCCAGCTCTGCCTGACAACTTCCCTGCGGGCAGCAGGTTCCATCCATGCAGAAACACAGAATGCTGCTTCGGATGCCCTGCAATGAAGGAGCTGAGATATATTTCTTGTCATACTGCTACCGCGATTACACTGGAATACCTGTGGGAATGAAATAAATAGGAAGATTAAGGGGAGAAGCACAAGGAACATGGCTCAAAGCTGGCGTGGATGGATTCCCATGAAGTCACAAAGGGAGGAGAGCCTGTGGGCAAGGGCTGCACCACTGACACCAGCATCACAGAAAAAGCCCCAGGACACTGAGATGACCCTGGAGTAGTTGCTCAGACTCCACAGTTCCCAAGGACAGACACTCCCCACGTTCCCCAGGGATAGCTAAAGCTTTGGGGGCCACTGCTCTAGCAAGACACTGTCTCCTCTTCTCCCTGAAGGCATCCAATGCTCTGGAGAGCAGGACATGAGCCACCCAGGAGACACAGCTCTGCCCAGGGGATGGTTGGCTCAAGTCCGCAGGTAATTGTCAGGGCTGGCAAGGAAGACTTCTGTCTGAGGCAGCGTCCAAAAATTCAGGACAAATAATCCAGACTGTGCAATTCCATGGGAAAAGGACAGAAAAGGACACGGGAACAAGAGACCGCACGCGTGGCTATGCGCAACACCACAGGGTTCTACTTTTTTGTTTGTTTGTTTTTAAACTGCACGTTCATTATCATAAAGAAAAGGAGCTGAGTAATCAGTGGGGGAGTAGAAACGTGGATCTGGATAATTCTAAAAAACCACTAGTATTTACCAAGGGCAGTTTACAAAAAGAACTGGAGGACTTTGGTCTGATCTCTGCTATTGTTTCCACCCTTTTAACATTGAAGGGACCCAAGTGAGACCCATCCCAGTGTCTGATGTGCAGCACGGCATGGCAGCACCTGACTCCATGGAAAGACTTGGACAGAGGGTTTAGGGTCAGCACCCACGAACAACACCCACCCCAGCAGGAGCTGGACGGGTGTGGACGTGTTTCTAGAGCAACACACCAAACTGGAGCCTGCAGAATTGTGCTTCCCCGGCAAAAATTCCCTTTAAACACAATTAAGAGATCTCCAGGATTGTGGACAGCCGGCTGTGTCTTCTCCTGCTGCAGCAGAGCCAGCCAAGACTGGGAGAACAAAGGAAGAGGCTCTCTCAATCCCACAGCCCCAGGCTGGGGAAGGAGGACACGAGCTCCTTCCTCTGGTTTCTCACACAGGGCTGAGTAAACTTTGGTGCTGTGGACAATTCAGAAGCCATTTTCCAAAAAACCTTCCCACACCCCATTCCTAAAATCTTTTCTTCCAAGAGAGACCCACCTCTTGGAAGTCCACCCCTAAAATCTGCCCCGTCCAGCCCCGAGGTGTCATGCCTAGCACGGCAGAAATCACAGCACTGTGGACACGGGGCAGGCTCAGGCTTTCCAGCTTCTTCCCATTGATCTTGATGATGTATCGGGATAGAGAAGCCTGGAAATACCTTCAGCACCGCCTTGAGCCGTGCTCTGGATGGTTTTGGGAAGCTTTTCCTCTGCTTCCCGCCGGCAGCACAGCCCCAGCTGTCTCCCACCACGGTCACGTCGCTGGAAAAGCATTTCCAAAAAGAACCAAAATTATATATATATATGTATACATACATATATATGTCTATACATACACACACACACGTATATATATGTATATATGTCTACCTATATATACACATATAGGTTGACAGGCAAGCTGCCAAAGTAGAAAACATCAGATCACCCAGTTTGCATGATGCGTGTTAAAGAAATGAGACTTTTAGCCCATGACATCTTCTTTAAAAATGAGTATTTAAGATCTTCAAAAATTGCTACAGTACAAAAAGTGTTTGTGTGTGTATATATATATATATATTTTCTCTCTACATATACCGTATGTATGGACTGGAATGGATGACCCCACCAGAAGAGATGCCCCACTTGTCCTCCACAACATTTCCAGGCGTTATTGTCTCAGCTCTTTGCAAAGTCTTTGCATCGGTTCATGGCACATAATGGTAATTATTGGCACAGGTTCAGAGTCACCGTCCATGGCCGGGCTCCAGGCGCTTATCCTTCCCTTTCCATCCCTTTGCTGGTTCCTCCTCCTCCTCCTCCTCCTCCTCTTCCTCCTCCTCCTCCTCCACGGGATTCTTTACTCGCACACTTTCCTTTCTCTCCTCCCAAAAACGTGCTCCTTGACAACGCAGTTACCTATAGGCGTGTTCATTTTTATAAAAATATATTTGGCCCATAGAACGCTGCTCTTTGAGTCTCCTACTGGTAAACAGAAATGGTAGGTACAGGTAACCCATTATTTTTTTATATTTTTTACAGGTTCACCAATGGAATCCTGTTGAGGACGAGAAGAAAAAGAAAGATTAAGTCACGACAGCGAATTTGCACCAAGTCTTGCATCTCTGCTTGGATGATCTCTTACAGCCTAGAGGTTTCCTCCTCCTTCCCCCTTGGCTGTGGAGCTGTGGGATTTTTGGGGGAGCAGGGTATCAGTGACCTCCTCCTCCTCCTTCTCTGCAGCTTCTGGTCTGTGCTGGGGATTGGGACCACTACTTCTCTCTCCTCAGGGCCTTTTCCAGGGTGGTATTTACTCCAGATCATCCCTGCATTCTGCAGCTTCTCACACTCGGGCCTCGAGCAGCAAGTGCTCTGGCAGACGAGCAGATGATGACAAGCACTAACAAGATTTTCTAAAGTTAAATCTAAAGAATCAATAGGGAATTGGTTAAGCACCAAACCAGAGATCCTATCAAAGTCCTTAAGCTATTTATTTACCATCTACTGGAAGATGTCTTCCTATGCAATTTTGGACCCTCAATGTGAAGACAGTCACTCCCCATCACTGGCGTGTGGCCACTTGCTCTACTTGTCTATGACATTTAATGAGATGTAGCACAGCTGGGTGTGCCAAAGACAGCTGCCAGCAGGTACCTACACCCTGTACAGCCATGCTCAGGATACACATTCCTAACCCACACATCCCTAATCTGTGCCCTCTGCCTGGCTGGGATCAGCATCCAGAATGTGCTGTGCTTTTTGTTCCAAGATTCTTTCTCTAAAAAAACCACTATTTTTAAGCAAGATGCCCAATACACCATCTCCAAGAACAACCCTGAAGTCTTAATTAGCGAGACAGATTTTCCAGAGTCCTTAATCTCCTGTGCTGGGGCTGTGCTGGGGCTGCTGCTACTCCTCCAAAGACAAGCTGGGATCTTTTATGATGACTCATTATCTGTTAATGTTAACACAAACCATTTGCTGTTGTTAGGCAGAACGGGGCCAGCAGCAGCTGCTGCCGTGTTCCAGCGTGGCTTTACCACACACTGCTGTCAGCTCTCGCTGCTCTGTGCCAGGGCAGGGTCAGGCTGGTGTCACCAAACCAGCACAGCTGCTGGCCCCAAAGTGTCCCCTCCCTGCCAGAGGTGCCCAGCATCCCGTGGCTCCTGGTGGGCACTGGTTAATGCTCAACAGCAGGGTGTACAATCGGTGTTGTATCCCAAATAGCCTCTTTGTGCAAAGTAGGTCAGCGCTTGATCAACCTTACAGATTTTTGTATAATCTCATTCCATGGGGTTTTTCAGTCAAAGAGAGCGGGATTAAGGACAAGAATAATGCGGAATCTCAAACTTCATTTCAGAAAGCCCCAAAGCCAGGATGAAATCAAGCCAAACCAGCCATCCTGTGCTGTGGTGCCTGGACAAAGCCACTCAAGTCTTTGGCACGTGTCCTGTGCTGGTCTGCAGAGCAGTGCTGCTCCTGCCTCTGTCTGGGTGCTCCTCCAGCGCCACTGGCACCAGGCAAGAGAAGCTTTCCTTTTCATCCCTCCCTTCAGGTAACTCCTGAGAGCTCCCACTGACTGCTCCACTCCTCACCTGTCCAGCCCAGGGCTGCACTGAGGCTGCACTGCCACACCAGGCTGCTGCAGACAGACTGACTTCTCAGCCTGCAGGAGCAGCTGCTGGCAGCTGCTGCTGAGGTGTGACATCCACCGAGGTGTGACATCTACCAAGGAGCTGGTGCTCCAGTGGGGCCCAGAAGCCAGCACAGGCAATCTGCTGGAAAGCTCCACCAGCTGCTTGCCACGGGCAGCCCTGCCTGCTGTGGGGAGGGATGGTGCCCTGACAGGGACCATGCCTGCAGCACAGGAACCCTCCCTGTGGCTCCTGCTGGCACAGGAGGAATCTGACCCCAGGAAATAGCTTCAACATCTGCTCCCTGTGTACCTGGATGAGTTTTACCAGGTTTTCTGACACAAATGTGGCACTGCCTGCAGCTCTCTAGGCTAGAGGTGCTTTGCAGTGCTGTCCCTTATATCTGCTGCCTCAACTGCTCAGTCCTCACACCAGGCTCACAGACTGTCAGATGTGAAGTTCACATTAAATTCCAACTTGGCTCCCAGTAGTCATCTTAACAAAACATCTGCAGCACCTCTGTCCTGCCACCCCTGTCCTGGGACATGCCACCTGCCTTGTGCCTCCAGCTCTGGCCCCACACCATCAGGAGCACTAATGTGCACACAAGACAGCTCAGAGCTGTGAAGCGCTGTCAATTAAAATGTGCAAACCGCCAGGAGAAAGGGGCTGTGAGGAGAAAGCTGCATGTAGCCCCTCCAGCCAGAAAGCTGCACATGCTCCAGATTATCCCTCTCTGCTGTGGTGCAGTGGGTCAACAGCAACTGTCCCCTTCAGGTGACCTTGCTGCAGCTGTGGATGCCAGCCAGGAAATACTCATTCCCCCGGAAACGGTGCAGCCCAAGCAGCTGCATCTCCTTTTCCACCAGCCTCTCCCCTAGAAACGAGAGCTGGAGAGGCATCCTCCATGCCTCCACTCCACTGCTTCCCTCCATCCCACTGCTCCTCTGGCACTTGGCAGCTGGTGACAGCACAAGGCAACCGCGGTGGCAGGGACAGGCTGGTAGGGACAGCCTAGCAGGGAGCTCATCTCCATGCCATCTGCACCTTACACAGTGACACATGAAAGCTTGGAATGCTCATTTCACCTGAGGGATTTCCCAACAGCACCTCGTTTCAGCTGGGACACACACCACTTATGCAAGTGTGTCCCAGAAACACGCTGGTGCAAACACACCTGTGCAGAGTAAACGTGCAGAGAACAGGCAGAACAGGTTTGGGATCAATCTCATTTTGTTATCCTTAATGAAACCAAACAGCAGCTTCCAGAATTGCATCTGTAATTGAAGTGCCATTACAGAGGTAATGCTGCAGGTACGAGCCCAATAGATTTTTCCAGAGTGCGTCAATGTGCGTTTTATGGATTCCATGAAAACGGATCAATGAGAATTTCAAGGATTTAATAAGGCGTAATGGAATGGCTTCAGGCTATTTAAAGAAATCTATGGAGGTGACCAGGGCACAGTCTTTGGCCTGGGGTTTCACAGGACCTGGGGCAGGAGCAGTGGGATCCACACAGGATTCCTACAGTGCTTCAAGCTGTTCCTTCCTTCCCTCTGCCTGAGGCATGGAGAGCTGTAGGTGGCATTGAGTGTAGCTGGCTTGCTTTATATGTTATTTAATTCACTTTAAGCCAATGGCAAGACTTCCCAAACTATAAAACTGAGGGTGGAAAAGGCCCAGTGGGTTATTACTGAGGCAGGTGTTCCCTGCAGATCCTCCATGCTCATTCTCCTGCTGCCCTCACTCCTGGCGCCAGCTCCTGCCTGGGTTCCTTTGCCCTCTGCTCCCTGAGACAATGGCCACAACAACAGAGTCAGAGAAAAAAACATGAGCATATCAGTGGATGGGGAGTGAGATCCTCTCACCTTCACCAGTGCAGCTGCTGCAACCAGGAGAAGCTCTGGGGAGGGCAGTGGGGCCATGCCAGGTGAATCCCTGCTCTCTGTGCCCCATTGTGCTGGCACACACCTCACCTGCCCTGTCTAGACACCACAGCCCCAGCACGGCCAAGATCATTAACTTTTTATTCCCTTCCATTCTAATCTAATTATATTTCTGTGTTCAATAGCTGTGCATAATGTTAAACAGGCTATTCCAAGTGAGCAGCAGCCAGGGAAGGCTGGAAATTTCATTTACACTGAATATATGATTCATTACAGCAGGGACTTGGGACAGAGCTATTAATTCACCTGCGCACGTGCCTCAAGCGGGCACCGCTGCCCAGGGCGAGCTGGCACACACAGACTTTTCCTGTCTTTTCCTGCCACTGCTATCAGCTGTGCCACCTTCAAAAGTGACACAAGGAGGTGAAAACAGCTTAGGCCAACTCAAGGAAAGAGAAGGGAATCCCCAAAGATTGTACTGTTGCAACCAGAACAACACTGCACTCCTTCAGCCACAGCCACACCCCAGGGGTGACTGGCTGCTGGGGACTGTGCTCGAAGGGTTGGCCTTGCAGAGCAGCAGGAGAAGGAGGAGAAGGAGAAGGAGGAGGAAGAGGAGGAGGAGGAGGACCCCAGCACCCTTGCAGTGAGCATGGAAGTGTTCATGACAGCAAACATCACCAAATGAGCTTTCAGATACTGGTGGAGCATGCATGCTCCGACAAGGCAGGCTGTCCATCATGCCACCAGAGGTTAATTACAGATCAGGCCATTTCCCAGCATGGAAATTACTGTGGCTTGCTGAGGTTTCAGAGGTGGGCTGGAACCATGGGATCAGGCTGAACTTCAAGGCTGCCCCAGGCACTCTTTGCTTTTGAATCCTTGTCCATCCCAGTCCCTCCCTGTTAGTGTTGGCCTGTCTGCAATGAACCTCCCTGGAAAAGGGAGCCTCGTTTGGCACCCAGTGCCCCATCCACGGCATGGAATGAGTCCAGTCACACTGAAGGAAATGCAGGAGGGAGGATGGCACCAGGCAGGGTACGATGGGCATAGCGGGGGCGCAGGATGGATGTGGGATGGGTGCAGGGAGCGCGGTACGTACCAGGAAACAGCCCGCTGGCGTCTGCCCTGCCCCCAGAAGTCAAACAGGCTTCGGCCAGTCAGCAGGAGATTTCAAACCATTTCTCAGACACAAAGGCCACGGGAATAAGATGCCGGTCAGAAGAAGAGGGTCTGCAGTGAGCAGAAAGAGGGGCTTGTACACGCTGGTACGTAACACACACGGCGCAAGCCGGGGCGGCCTGCTGCACAGTCAGCTGTTCTACATCTCTCTGCAGCGATGCTTTGAGTGGGCCTGGGCTCACCAGGCTGCCTGGAAGTGCTCTGGGACAGAGGGTCCCAGAGGGCATCCCTGGATGGTGAAAAAGCCATGATCTCTGCTAGCCAGAACACAGGGACTCTCTGTCACCTGGCTGGAGTTCATATCAAACCAAGGCTTGTGGACACCCAACAAAATGGTGTGACAATCCCTGCCAGTTCTCCACCTCCTGAGATGTGAAGAAACCCTGGAAAATGCAGCAGGAACGAGCAGAACCCTGCACACACGCAAGAGATGCTGATTGAAAAGGCATCAATGTTGGCTGAAAGGCATTAAATTGTTGGCTCCAGGCCTGTCCTTCGGGCAGGCAGATCTGGGCTGTGGCTGCCACACGTCATGGTTCCTCAAGGCTGTCTGGAGCATCAGCTGCTCATTTTCTCCCTCAAAACTCTCTGCCTGGCTTCCCCTCTACCTTTGATGGGGACACACATTTACCATATGGTGAAACCACACCAGCACGCAGTGAAAGCACTCTGGAGACAGCCTGTGGTGCGGGAAACATCGCTCCCAACCCCACTGCTCCTGATCCCCACCTCAGGCAGGCAAGGGGCTGGCAGAGCAGGGCCACATCCCTTGGCTGGAAACGATGCTCCTTGTTAGCGCTGTGCCGTTGTTTTGCAGCAGCCAAACGGTTCATTTGGCTCTCACTGCCTGCTCCTCCATTAATCACCTGCTTGTTTGCAGCCCGGCAGCTTTGCCGATGCCACTGAGGAGACAGCACGGGCGCTGGAAAAACGGATCCAGTGGCATTTTATGTGCTGGCAGGAGGAGCAGCAGCAGCTGGGAAATGAACACTGTGTGTGGCGGTGAGCTCGCCCAGCCCTGCAGGGCCAGGGGCTGCTGAGGCACCCACCAAGCCTCACCACCAGAACTGGGGTCAGGGGGCCAGTCCCACACTGAGTGAGTGAGTGAGCACCCAAGAGGTAGGAGGCTCTGCCAAATGCTCCCTGGAACATCACCCCTTGTGGAATTTTCAGGCAACCTCGACAAGGGAAGAGATGAGAATCTTGACTCCATGTTTCAGAAGGCTGGTTCATTATTTTATGATGTATATTATAACAAAAATGCTATACTAAAAGAAATAGAGAAAGGATACAGATAGAAGGCTAGACAAGAATGATAATGACTGACCAGAGTATCAACACAGCTGGACCTGTGATTGGTCATTAAGTAAAAACAATCTACATGAGACCAATCAAAGATGCACCTGTTGATAAGCAACCTCCAAACCACATTCTAAGCAATCAGATAATTATTGTTTACATTTCATTTTTGAGGCCTCTCAGCTTCTCAGGAGAAAAAAAATCCTGCCAAAGGGATTTTTCAGAAAATATTTCAGGGACAACCCTCTGAGCACCAGAGCCCCATCACCCCAGCGGGACGGCTCTGTCCCCACACCGGGAAACCGCGGCGCCCAGCTCACCTGTTTCCATTGAAGGTGGTTTTATAATCCCCGGGCGAGTGCAAGGTGTCCTCGGCGTAGACGGGCACGGGGGTCCGCACGCACTCGTGGGAGCACTGCAGCGTCTCGTTGTAGGCGGTGAAGATGTCGAGGGCGCTGGGCACGCGGGCGGGGGCGAAGTCAGTCAGGTTCTGGCAGCTCTCCTCCTGCTGGTCCAGCTTGCGTTGGTGGCTGTTGCGCCGGGGGCGCCCGCTCTGCGCACAGCTGGGCCGGGGGGAGAGAGAATCCCACAGTCATGGGATGGTCTGGGTTGGGAGGGACCTTAAAAACCCTCCAGTTCCATCCCCCTGCCATGGGGGATGCCTTCCATTAGATCAGGTTGTTCCAAGCCCTGTTCAACTCGGCCTTGGATTCTTCCAGGATGAGGCAGCTACAGCTTCTCTGGGCAGTCTGTGCTAGGGCCTCACCACCCTCATAGGGAAGAAATTTCCCCTAAGATCTAATCTAAGTCTTCCCTTTAGTTGAAAACCATTCCCCCTATCCCTTTAGTTGAAAACCATTCCCCATCCCACTGTCTGTCTGTGTGAAAAGTTGCCCTCCATCATTTTTATAAGTCTGTTATGGCCTGAAAGGCCAAAGCAGAAGGGACGGGAGGCACACTGTATCCCTGAAACTTGGCAAGGGAACTCACCTGATTGACCAGTCATTACAGATTGTTCCATACTAGATTAGAATTCAGAAATTCCAATTCCAATTCAGAATTGGAAAGATCAGCCACAAGCAGTCATTTGGCTCGATGCTTTTTTATAATAACCAAATTTACATTTTAGACACAAGCTTTTTCCCATCAGAGGAATGACTTAATGAGTCACACTTTTGTACCTGCAGGAAGCAAAAGCCTTTTCTTAAGTGAAAATATGTAGGTGAGAACAATGAAGTGAAACCCTTTCCATTTGGGAGACGCCAACAGGTTGGAACTTCTCAGGATAAATGAGCTCAGGACCTGGTGTGACACAGCAGAGGGATGGCTGGCAGGGCAGCCCTGCTCTCCGGGGGCCCCTCCAGCTCTGGAGGCTTCATAAGGATCTCGTGGCTGCACAGCACTTCTGCCTCAGTACGTCAGAGACGAGGAGAACCCCAGCTCACAGGAGCCGCCCTCAATCAGCCTGGTCCTATTTCAGGGTCTAGACACTGATTTAATTAAGATGCCACTTTTTCCAGATGGGATTGACAGCGCCTTGCAGAACGCTGGAGTTTTGGGAGGTGGCAGCTCCGAGGGTGGTGGGAGCTGGGGATGCCGGCACTGTCTGTGGAGGGGCACCCCTGGGGACAGGAACGTGGGGCTCTGCTGGGAGCAGTGCTGGCCAGGGTGACAGCATCAGGCTGCTGGCTCTGCTCTGCTTGATGCAAGTGAAAGAGACAGCCCTAAACCAACTGCTGTCTCCCCACGGCACGTGTGCAGGAGGAGCAGTGACAAGAAGGACGCTGGCTTGGCACGCAGCCATCGCTCACCCGTCCTGCTTGAGGGGGAAAAATGCCAGCCAAAGGATGGGGACAGTGACTGTGTCCCTGCTGGGGACAGGGCCAGAGTGTGTGGTGTGGGTCAGCCCTGCCATGGAGCGCCTGAACGTGGCCTGGGGTCACCCAGTGAACCGAGGCAGTTTGGGTAGAGTCGAGCAAACTCCCAGGTACTGTTTCTTCACCTTGGACACACCTGGGTGCTGCCCACACTCTCCTGCTGAGGATTTTCTCTGGTGATTTCTCAATTTCACTTACTATAAAGCATTTCTATTCTACACTGATCACTGGATTTATTTTTTCCCCCTTTTTGGCTTCAGCAGCAGTTACTGAGCTGCTCTGCCAAGCTGTGGTCAGCCGGATCAATGACTCGTACCGCTCACTGCTGCGACTGGAGACAAATCCCACAAGTGTTTTATAAACTATTCTCCTTGCTCCTTCACTGAAACACTGCGGCAACCAGGGAAGTTCAGTGAATTAAATCCCACTTGAGATAAAGTAGGGAGCCTCACTGGCTACTCCCCAAAGCAAGTTCAGCTGTGGGGACAGAACCTCGGTGCTTTCAGCTGGCTGCTGCTCAGCATTACAGCTATACCAAGATGAAGATGCCTCCATAGCCCTGCAAAGGGTTTCTCCTCTCATCCCAGCTAGCCAGCAGGCTCCTCATCAACCCGGTGTTGTGATTGCCTCCTGGCTGCAGAAACTGATTTGCTGCAGCACCCACGCAGAGCTCGGCCAGGCCGGAGGGGAGAGCCACCAGCCAGGCTCCCCCCAGCCCCGTGCTGCAGCCGTGTCGCTACGCCAGCAACGCTGACCTCAAAGTAGGCCAGTTTCCCTGGGAAAATAGGTAAAGTGAGGAGTGCCTGGAGCGAAAGCTAACCTATTTTGCCATACGCCCAAGCCACACTGAGAGAACAAATGGGAGCAAATGAAGCTGGAGGAGCACAGCAGCGCCCCGGGGGTTGGGGCATGCTTCAAACCACGGCACCTGAGGGGCTTCGAAGGTGCCCTTCCATCCCTGGGGTCACAGGGAAGGGCAGGAGGTGCAGCTGCTTCTTGTCAAGCCAGGCTGGGGATTTTAGGAGCAGCATCAAAGCTCCTTAGGGAAGGCAGTGGAGGAGCTGCTGGCACTGGACACATCCTGGGAACACGCACACGGCTCTGACCTCTCCAGGTGGCACTGTGCTGAGGCACGTGTCCCATGAGACTTGGCTACCCAACCTGGGCACATGCTGGTCCCCAGAGCCAGTGGCCAGGTGATGGGAGGTGGAGGCACAGCCAAACCCCGATGCACCAACCTCCTTTGGAGGTTTTGCTGTAAACCCCCCACTTTCTCCTGCAATCCTGGCAGGTGCCACAGGCTTTGGCACCTGCAGCAGGATGGGCACTTCCATCCCCACCCTGTCCCCATCCCACGTCACCCCCCAAGCCAAGCAGAGCAGGAGGGGCCTTACCAATTTTTTAAGACAAGAGTTGTTATCAGCGCAGCTATGACCATGATGAGGGACACGGTAATAGTGATTATCTGATGAACAGCCAGACCTGCAGACAGAAGAAAAGAGACAGTGGGGATGGGAACTGAGGGGACCCTGGCAGAGCCCCCCTCCCCACAGAGCCCCCCACCACCCCCTCCCAACGTGAGGCCACACACAGCCCCCGGCAGCGGCGCCGCAATCCTCTCTCCTGCTTTACACAAAATAAATCTGTAAGCCAGGCTCCTCATTTCCTATCCTCTCAAGTATGTTCCTTGTCAGCCCGAATTAGGCACGAAGAACGGAAGAGAAGTGAAGACGTCTCCCCTCTGGGACGGAAAGGGAGACAAGCACAGCCTTGCACCGGGTGCGGGATTCACCAGGGAGAATAATTACAGCACTGGCGGCTGCTCGCCTTGCAGGTCGGGTGGGCTCATTTCCCCCTCTTCACCTTCCACGGGGTATCATTTTGGCTCGTGGATCATTCCTAATGAGCAGTTTGGAAACAAAAGCAGCTCGCTGTACACTGTGTTTGTGATTTTGCGCTGCCTTACAGTTGCAATTTCGTAATGAAATGATTTTTCCTGGCTGCAGCCCAAGGATGTGCTATTTTTCACAAACAGATGTTGCAGCTCCTGATGGATGGTAGTTTTAATAAATAAATAAGTCTTAGAATGACAGGAAAATAAGCAGTTTTATATATATATCTGTATGCGTCTGTGGCAAGGACGGAGTCAGTGCCAGGGCCATGGCTCAGCTGGAGCTGGGGGTGCCTGGGGGCCACTGGGCAGCACTGGGGCAGCCACTGCTCCTGGGGAAGGATTCACTTGTGGCCCCCGTGCTGGCAGGGTGGGCAGCAGCCAATTCCAGCTCACTCCTCAGCTGCTCCACCTCTGGGTTTCACCTCCCAGGGGAATTCACAGGGAAAATGCCACGCTGGGAGGCTCCCCACCTCCCACTGTCACCCCACATGCTGAAGGTGAGGCCCAGGGAAAGACTTCTGAGTTCCCAGAGGGTGGTGACGATGGGAGCATGTCCCCACGGGCCCGAGGAGGGTGGTGGCAGCTCGTGCCCACGTGTGGCAGGTCGGGAGTGACGCCCACCCTGGCAGCAGCCAGCCCGGCCGCATCCTGCACGGCAGCCTTGGAGCAGCTCCCAGTGGGACGCTGCCGAAAAAGATAAAAGGAAAGACTCTAAAAATAAACTCAAGCCAGCCCAGTGCCCGATTCCTTTGAAAACAGAAGCGGAGTCGGGGACGAGACCTTCTGCAATGCTGGGAGCTGAGGCAGTGGTGGCAGGGCCACGGGAGAACCTAACGATGCAATTAATCCTTGCATTTACGTAATGGGAAAGGCACAGGCAGAACAGATTGCAGGTGGCTGAGCACTGGGAAGGATGGCAGCTCCTTGGAGCAGGACACATGGATTTTAAGAAAGGCTGGATAATTTTAGACTCCATCACACACATAAGTTGCCATATGTACAGGCACAGCAAAGTTCCTTTGCATCATGTATAAATTCTGCATAAGCCAGGGGGATTTCAAGGGAACAGGAGACCTTTGTCTCAATGCTGGTGATGGGCAGAGGGAAGGCACCCAACAGGTGGCCCATGATGGCTCCCTGGGAAGCCCTAGAGCAATACCTGCTGCAATAAACACTACCAGGTCTTTATTCTTAATTTACAAATATATCAAATATATCAATTTACAAATATATCAAATATTTTCTATTAGCCCCTCAAAGCATGTAGGGCCAAACGGAGCAAGATCAAGCAAATATCCAGTCTGTGAGAGGCAGGGTTAATGTGTGGGGCACCCTTTGAGAGGGGAATGTCCTGTAAGGGACATAAAGCACCCTGGCAAGTGAAGTGAGGTGGACAGAGATGATGCCAAGGGCAAAGCAGTGCTTTAGACACAGCCCTCAAAGCCCAACGGGATAGAGGAAGGGAAGACTTGGAAGACAAAATCAATAGCTCATGGGGCAAAATCCTCCTCCTCCTCCAGTGCAGGAAGCTGCCTGGCACAGGCATAACTCCCCATGAGAGCCTGTGCCCCCAGAGAGAGACCCCGGGAGCAGGGATTACAGCGCCTGGGTTTTGTTTGCTCATCTCCTTGGCAAAAGCTCTGATCCCAGTGGGTCACGGAAGCCGGTGGCCATGTAATTACACGTTATTAACCGTGGAAACAGGGAGCTGCAGGGGAGGGACACCCAGCCCCGGCCCCTCTCACCTGTGAGCGCCTCAGCCCTGCGAGGGCTCCCCCTGCCAAGGCTTTTACCAGGCAATTTGACGCAGTGACCATTTAACTGGAGGGTAATTACAGGAGAAGTATTTAATGGAGCCGAAAGTGTGTCCAAGCCTCTGCGCTTCTGCTAGTGCAGCAGAATTCCGCATGCCGCCTGCCAGGAGGGAAAGCTCTTCAAAGGCGCTCTCTGAACCCTCGGAAATGCTGAAATATCTCTGGGTTTTTCCACTCTCGTGCCGCCCGCTCTCACTGGGGCCTCTAAATCCCCAAGGTGGGGGGAGAGGGGCCACGGAATCCCAGCAAGGCAGCACAACCCAGCTCCCGATTCCCCACATCCTGGGCAAAACCCCAATCTTCTCAGAGCAAGGCAATGCCAGGGCTTTTTTTTTTTTTTTTTATCTGTTATTTTAAAGACCATATATTTGCTGCTGAGATGAAAGTGCTGAGGTTTGGCCTTTCTGGCCACCTTTTGAAACGGCTCCCGGACAGCTCTGCATCAATGGAATTAATTCCATGAGAAAAATCCATTCGAGACTAATGTCTTGCTACTGCAGGAGCATGCCATGGCAGCGAACAGGAGATATAAGCTCTTAATTAAAAACAAAGAGAACCTCTATCCCCCAAGGCCTTTATTTCAACAGCTCTGGTTAGGGAGCCTGTATTTTTCATTTTCCCAATAAAAACAGCTACGAGCTGCAACTCTTTGAAGACCCTCGTCAAGGCCTTGAAGCTGCATAAAATTAGAAAAAGGAGAAAACAGCTCTATTTCATTTGAAAGGGAGAAAACTGGAGTTACTCTTACAGGCCAGATATTGCTACCCCCAGTCTCCTCCCACACTTATGCTGCGTGGATCTCCTTCTCCTCAGCATCCCATCCTCACGAGTCCCCTTCCTCTGTTCTCACATGCCCTAAGCACCAGGATGCCAATGCCTCCTCCTGAGCATTGTGGAGAAGCTGGGGCAAAGCCGCGGGGCTCAAGAGGCTTTACAGCTTCCCCAGCTATCAGAAATCACATCTGAGCCCCAAAAACCTCATCCCCTGATAAAGCTGCTTGTGGACAGAACAATTCAATCAGGAGCGTGGTGTGGCCTCCCTGCTGCCACCGCCGGCCTTTCCCAGGGCGGATCAGCCAGATTTGGCCGTATCATGAACCTACTGCTGGTTAATAGCTTGTAAGGAAAATCATTCACAAAAGCCACAAGGGTCTGCTACAGGGGTGGAGACACAGCAGAAATCTTCTTGAAAAGCCTTGTTACAGTACACAGCCAGCTCCTCTGCTGCCCAATCCACCACGGCACAAACCGCCTTGGCTCTGCTCTTCCCAACACCTTGCTGGCAAAGCTGAGGTCAGCAAAGCTGCTTGGTTTTTCACCTGGTAAATCAGTGATCTCTCTGAAACCCAGCCCAGGGAGTGTTAGTCATCCTGAGGTGAAAATGCATCTTTTCAGCAAAAAACCCACCAAGGCTCCTGGCAACTTCCTGGTATTTTGAGCTGGACTGATGAAAGAAAGAAAATATCTTCCCGCTGCTGCTGCTGCTGCTGCTGCTGCTGCTGCTGCTGCAAAATGTTTTTGCCAAGAAGGAAAATCCTGGAGGTTTATGCTAAAGACACTGGGACTTATCTTCTCAGGTGTTACAGCAAATATCACCGAGCAATAAATACTTGGAGAGCAGCAGAGGAGAGTTTCTGGCTCACTGAGAGGCACGTGGGAGGATGTGCACAGGCACGTTCGCCATCCGTGCATCCCGGGGAGCGTCCCGACTCCCTCGTAGGGAGAGCCCAGCTGATGGCCACGCTCCTTTCTGGCTTCCACCGTCATCCTCCCCCCTTCAGGAGAGCTGCAGCTGATGCACAGCCCTACAAGGGATCCTTTGGGCAGCTCCCAGGAAGGGTAACCGTGGTGCCAGCCCAGGAGACACCATCCAGCTCCTTCACCTCCTCTCCGTCCCCAAGCTGCGGCACCACCCCACCCCTTAGCATGGCAGATCAAAGAGGCAGCTCCATCCTCACTGCCCAGAGTTTCCTTTTAAACACATTTTATCTTTAATTAATTCCTTTGAAGCTTTTTGCATCTACTATCTCCTCGCCTCCAGCAACCCCCTACTGCACCCTCTTTCTGGAGGCAGGGTCATCACCAGCGGGAAGCAACGCCTCTGTTATTATTTATTCCTGACACACTGCTGGCTGGAGGTGGGGAGGGGTGGCCTGGGGCCACCACCAGCTCAGATCCAGCTGCCAACACCCACATGGCCCCCCACATTCCCCCAGGTGAACCCCAGCCCTGGTGAAGGGGTGTCCCTGAGCACCAGCTCTGCCACAAGCTCACAGACTGCGGTGCCAAATGCGCCGCGACCGGTCATCAAATACCACTAAGAGCAGCAGACAGCACATGGAGTTTTCTGCCTTATAAAGCACTTAAAGGTTTAATTAAAGACGGCTTTATCCTAAAGCTCCTGAAAGGAGGCTCAGACAAACCAGCGAGTGCAATTCCTGCCTTGCACTGACAGCTCTGATTCATTCCACTCTTCTCTGCTTTGGCTGAGGCTGCGGGACCCGGGGATGTTCTGCCTTGCTGGAGGAGCCCAGCCCACGTGGAGAGTGCCCGGTGAACGCTCCTCACAGCCCTTCCCACTTGCAGCATGCTGGAATTTTAATTATTCCTCTCTTTCCCTGCTCCAGAGTAAAACGATTGTGACAGCCCTGAAGAAGGAAGCACATTTTTGAAAAGCACAAGCATAAACTACGCCTGGGTGAACATCCTGCATGCCCAGCTGATGCCAGCAGTGCTGTGCTGCATGGCAGGGGTGGCATGGGGACAGGAACACCTGAGCCACAGGTCACCTGAACCCCCACAGCAACACCCACCGGGCCAGCACACGCACCTGCCTCTGCTCTCATCCCAAGCATTACCTGCCATCACTCCTCTGCTGCCTCTCCTGCCTAGGAGATGAGTGATTCCTATTCCAGGGGAGTTTTTTTAAGCTTGTTTTTGCTGTCAGCGACTCACGGAGGCATTGTTTCTGGCTTTTTTTCTCTCGCTCCTCAGCGAGGAGGAAGGGGGGCGAGAGGATGATCTGACAGAACAGAGCTGCTCCCATTGCTCATCTCAGCGAGCACTGCTGCCTCTGCTGAAGTGAAGTGGGTCTTTTTTACCACCGTGTGTGCACCCCAAGGACCCCACGGTCCCACACAACCACCAGGGACCCAGAAGCAAAGCACAGAGGGATACAAGAACACAGCACAGGAGGGATATGGGTGCACAGCAAGCAGAAGCACAGCAGCAGCCACCTGCTCTGATGGAAGTGCAGGGGATCTGCATGGCTCCAGGAGCCTTGGGACAGCTCTGCCAGCTTCTGTGGGTGCCACACACAGGTGGTTCCACCCTGACCACCCCAGGCATGTGCTGGGGACAGCTGAGGGAGCACAGGCAGTGAGAGCAGCACCACACCCACCGCGGGCTCCCGTCAAGGCGCCTCACCGGACAGGGACTGGCAATGCTCGCTGAGGCAAATAAACCGAACAGGCGAGTTACCTCATCCTCATTTGTAGCCATATGTTTTTCCCAGCAGAGAACAAACACTTCCAGCCGCTACAGCTTATATAACAGAGTGGAGCAGGGCTGGGAAGCTGCACGGCTTCGCACGGGCGCCGCACCAGCAAAACTGGCACGGACCCTGCTTTGAGACAGAGCCGGCTGCTCGCTCCCAAAACGCTGTCCTGAGGCATGGCAGGGGCATGGAGCTCTCACTGGGAGCATACTGAGAGCTCTCTTGGGTGCTCAGCCCCAGCATTGGAAGGAAAAGCGGATCTGGACCTCAGGAGCTTTTCAACTGAGGGTGGATGAGCTGGGATCAAACGAGGCCTTTAGACCCGGGAAGAAGTTTATCACATTCACTGCTTGAAGAGAAGTTAATTAGCAAAAACTCCGATCATGCAGAAAGCCCCTAATGAGAGCTAAAGCCTGCAGATTAAAGCAGTTGGCCCCCTGGGAGCTGCCGGGGCTGCAGCTCCCGTTGTTCTGTGGCCACGCAGGACAGCAGCGGTGGCACTGGCAGGTGGGTGGCATCACTGCCAGCTCAACTTCGCCTAAACAAGGCAGCCCACTCCAGTAAGCCCCAGAGCCCCAGCACATGCCAGGAGCCATCCTCCCTCAGCTGGTGCAGGCAGAGGGGCTCCTGCAGCTGGCTGATGGCAACAAGTCCACTGGACCCCACCCTCCTGGAATGGATGATGCCACTGAGGCCAGAGGCACTGACCCCAGCGGGGGGAGACCAGGCTGATGCTCTCATCATGCAGAGAGCAGCAAAAGCCTCAGCCCTTATCAATACTCCCTCGCTGATCTATCCAGCCCATTTCAGCGTTTTGTAAAAGGTGTGTAGGCTGGGAGTTATTTTTTGGCTATAAATAACCCCTTTAAGTCAGGAACAACATCCTGGTTGCATTGTCTCTTTTTGCCAAGCAGGGCAGGCTGGATAAATTAATTGGGATTAAGATTAGGCCGTAAAATTCCTTTTCATTTCGACTAGAAAATCGCAGTGGGCTCAAAGCAGTCGATGCACAGTGAGTAAATTCTGTAAACCATCCACCGGTATCCCACGGTTTAATATCAGCAATAACAAATATAATTTGCAATAAATGGGAAGCAGCTTTCCCATCCATGTCCACGCAGCAGCCGGCGCTGGGGGAAGGCATTGCTGTGCCGAGCGTGATGCTCAGCGCGATTACGGGAGATGGGCTGTGGATGGAGCCTGTAATGGGAAAACACAGCGAGTGGCTGGAAAACGCCTCGGATAAAAGCGATAATCAGCGCCGAGCGCCTGTTTAATGTCACACTAACTCCTGTCCCAGGCAGCGCTGCCACGGGGACACTCGCGCCGCGGTGAACGCGCCAGCCCTCCTGATGTCCCCGCCACCTCGCTGTGCCCCTACCTGTGCTGTCTCCCAGCCCACGGGGCGGGCGAGCATCCTTCCCTCCGCTGCTGTGCCCTGCGGCCGGCTCGGCGGTGCTGCTGCGCCCGGGGCTGCCGCGGGGCCCGTCCCCGCCGGCCGCGGGAGCCGCGGTGCTGGGGGGCACCCGGGGCGGCGTGGCGGCCGTGACAGAAGTGACAGCGGCGGCGGCAGTGCTGGCGGAGGTGGTGGCGGCGGCGGCGGCGGCGGCGGTGGTGGTGGTGGTGGTGGCGAAGGCGCTGGGCAGCGTGCTGCTCTCCAGGGAGTCCTCCTCGCCCGTGGGGCCCCAGACGATGACCTCGGGCAGCGCCGTGGGTCTCCCGTCCCGAGGGGCGAAGCCGCGGCCGCGCAGGTGCCGCCGGCCCCGCCGGGAGCGCGGGCGGCGCAGGGGGCGGCCGGCGGGCAGAGGGGCGGCGGGGGGCGGCCGGCGGGAGCGGGGTCTCTGCACAGGGGGAGCGGGACCGCAGGTCCAGGGGGGGCCGGGGCGTTGCAGCTCCTCCGTGCCCGCCGTGCCCCACAGCGAGCCACGGGACAGTCTGTGCCGGAGCGCCGGCCGTGCTGAGAGCTTCCCCCCGGTGCCGGTGGCTGCTGGCGGCTGGCAGCTGGCAAGGTCCATGGCTAGGTGGAACATGGCTATTAAAATCCAAGCATGGCTTCCGAGCGGGCAACCTGACCTGTGGGCAGATAGGGATTGTGTTAGAAGGGCAGTGGGGTAACCCCGTTCTCCCTCTCAGTATGGCACACACTAGATCTCTGAGCCCAGCCACCCAAAACGTCCCCCAGCTCCATGGGTGTCGTTGTCCTCCCTGGTTCTCCAGCCAGAGTCCCCCAAAACGGCATCATAGGGCATAGCGTACCCCCTCCCCCAAAAACTACCACCACCAACATGGCAGGCTGAGGATCCCCATTCATAACTGTGACCTTTCAGTTGGTCTGGGAATGATGGGAATGACCTGAGGATGGGTTTTACCAGGAAACACCCTGGAGGAGCAGCCAGTGCCTGCTTTGCCCGAACTCAGCCCTGTTGGGTGAATTATCCAAAGCAGATGGCCCAGCACAGCTCCAGCAGCACAAGCCTTCACTCCAGGGACACTGAGATGCAGGGGTACCAGAGAGCCCATCCTTTGCTTCCCAGCCCCACAGGCAGCATGATGAATCCCTCAAAGGGCTGGAGCAGACGAGGCCGTGGGCTCCGGTGTTTGCACGTGTAGCCCATCTCCCACTATGGCAGTCACCCACGCCGCAGCAGGAACATCCTCCCACGGCACATCCCCTCCCACAGCATGGAGCACCCACGCTGAACATCACCCTGCAGCGCAGGGAGGGCAGGAGGAGCAGCCCTTTTTGCTGCCCTTTGTGCCACAGAGCAGCTGGAACACCCCTGAGCTGCTGGCAGCTTCAGCAGTTGGAATTTTGCTTTCCTGTCACCGTCACATCACGTCATGTCACAGCCCTCTCCCTTCCCCAGTGACACCACACCCAGGCTCCGCTCCCCTCATGTCTCCTCCACGATGCTCCCCCACGTAAAGCAGCAAGAAAATCTCTGCCTGGCAAATTTCTGTTGCCTTCTCCCTCCCTACCCCTCCCGGGAAAAAAAAAAATCATTAGGCCAAAACCTAAAAATCTTTACTCCATTTTACTTAGCTTTTACAGGAGAAAGACTTTTGTCGAACTCAGCAGGAGTTAATGAGAGCTTTACATGGCTAAACGGGCTAATCCTCTGCAGCAGTGCCCGCACAGTCCTTGGGAGCACGACAGAATGTGCATCTGGTTGACAGAAGCATTTGTACACTCCCTCTGTGCGTGAGCAAGCGAAGCTAAAGGAGCTGACCTGGATACTCCCAGGCACAGGCTTTTTCTGCTCAGAGGATCTCTGCTTTTTTCCTAATTGGGTATTTTTTCAAAGCGTAACAACATTTATTTTGGGGAGGGAGAAGGCAACGCAAGGAAAGAGCGCAGAAGGAGAAAGGGAAGAGCCAGAAACAGACAACAGAAACCAAAATAGTTCAGGCTGGGGGAGGAAGGATTTCAAGGCTTCAAAAAAACCACAAACCACCCAAACCGTGGTGGTGGTGGTGGTGGTGGGTTTTTTTAGAGGCCGACAGAGTGGTGGCAGCACGAAGAGTGTCCCCCACGTGCTGCAGGCAATGCCGTGCTTCCACTGGTGAGGAGCCACAAGCTCATGCTCCAGCAGGATCATCCAGCACAGACTCACCTTTGCAATGCTCAGGATCACTCCTGTAGCATGTCAGGCTTGATTTCAGCCTCTGCCCAGCTCCCCGTCACCTGAAATGTCTCCTTGCAAGGAAGGAAAGGTGCTGGGCACCTCCTGACATGTCACTCACTCCAGGTGCCACCTCTCACACCAGCTGCGCCCACCCCCAGATCTCATCCCCTTCCCAGCTCTCTGTGTTGCTCACACTCAGAACTTTTATGAACAGCTGCTGAACAGAGCCAGGGAAGATGTGCCCAGCCCAAACCTGGCGCTCACTGCATCCCAGCCATTGCCTGGAAACTTCTGAAAGACAAAATGCCAGCCCTTGGTGCTTGGGATTGGCAGCTCACAGGAAAAACAGATATTCCCCCTGCTTCCATCTCCTCCTGTCTCCTTGTGACATTTCAGGCTGCAGTGATGGCAGCGTGAACTTGCAGGGGCTTGCTCCTGCAGAGCCTGTCCGACACAGCTGCATCATTCATAGCAGCATCAGGAGGATGTGTGGACAGAGGCAACACCCAACCCTTGTCTTGCCCTGGGCCATGCTGGAAATTTGTGTCCCAGCATGGCCAGGCAGTGCTGGTGACACCCAGGACACCAGTGTCCCTCACTGCTGCCACTGCTGCCCAGCTCAGAGGCTCTGGCATGGGGATGGACACAGTAAGGGACACCCAGATGGGGCACATCCCACTCTGTCCCAAGGACAGCTTGGCTCACCCTGCCACCAACATCCCATCAAGCAAGGGGCTGTCACCCCAGGAGTGTCCTCCTAGCCACCACACCAGCTGGCATGTCCCCAGGAGATGGCTTCAGCGACAGAAGCAGCCAGTCCGGTTACCTCGGAGGAATTTTGCGTGGCATGCGATCTTCTGAGGGCTTTGCAACAACAGATAAGAGCAAGTGTCCTTCAGAATAAATAGCAGCGTGTAGGAGTTGCCGTTGTCCTGGCAACGCAGCGTGATGTGCCCGGCGCGGCGGCGGCAGCGGGGATGGATGCGGCAGCGTGGCGCGGCCAGAGGCAGGACCACCCTGCCCTCCCCTGCCTCCCGCACCCCCTCCCCACGCCAGCGCCCTGCCAGGACCGGCAGAGCGAGCGACACGTCCCGAAGGACACCCACGGTCACACACGGAAGCGAGGATAACGCACCACGAGCAGCGCACACCGGAGCGAGGATGCATCTCGCCCGGATCTCCTGCCACCTTGTCCTTGCCCCAGAAAAGCCTGGGTTGTCCCAGGAGAGCCCGCTGCGGCTGGCACAGCACGGCCTGGCCCGGCACAGCGCCCCGGGAGTCCCCGCGCCTCCGCCCGAGCAGGCAGGAGAGCATCGCTCGCCTCTCGGGAGCGCCGGCACAAAGTCACCGCTGCTCGGAGGCCGGGAGGGCGTTCCTGCTCTGCCGAGACATCCAACAGCTCAAACACCTCTCCAACGGCACGAGCTGCTCCTCAGGGACAGCGGAGCAGAGGCAGAGGAGCCTGAGCTGCTCCCAGAGCATGGGAAAACTCCCTAACTGCGCCCAGAGAGGGGCTGTGGCATAGGGAAGGGAACACATCATCCAGACCCACACACACCATCCATCTGGCTCAGCCTGGGGGCACGGAGCCAGCCCTGGCTGGAGAGACATGTGGGCCCGGGGGATGTATGGAGCAGGGCTGTGGTTATGCTCCTCACTCGGGAATCAGGGCTTTCCTCACCCCCCTACAAGCACACACAACCTATTTTGCAAAGAAATTTGAGGAGCGTGGGCAAATTTCACATTACTTCTTTTCCCATCTTGGAGGTGAATGGGAATGTTATCCCAAAATACTGTTCGAACTCCAGGAAAAACCCAATAAAACTCTGAAACTGGGTTAGATAAAGAAACAGAGCGGATATATTTGAGAAAATGAAATCCTGTCCTTGATCTCCTCATCCAAGGCCTTGGCTCCCACCAGTCACAAATCTGCTCCCCTGGCTCCATGGATGCTGAGGTGGCCACACTCACACACAGGAAATGAAACTCCTACAAATATTGACCTGCAACAAGCATGAGAGCAGATTTCAAGGAAACTGCTGGGCTAATGACACAGATCAGGGACACCGGGCGTTCTGGGACTATTTTCTGAGCCAACCTGACATTTCAAAGGAATGTTGCACTGGAGCCACCACAGCCTCCCCACCCAATGCACCTTTCAGAGTCCTCCCCTGTATGAAACTTCTTCCTGAATCTTTCCAGGTGCAGCTGTGTGCTTTGAAGAGGAGGACAGTTGGCACTTGATGTGAAAGAGATTAATTTCAAGGATGCTGGAGGATGTGAGCTCACCATGGTCCTCAGCAGTGGTGGGGAAGAGGCTGCTGTGGAACTTGGCACTCCTGTGCACTTGGTACCAACCTCCACGTGCAGGGAGGGAAAGAAGGAGCATCCAGCATGGAGCAGGACAGAACAACCCCTGCCCCAAGCCTGGGAACCCTCAGGGGTGGCAGCACCTCAGGTAACCCTGATACTGCAGACAGGACATGGATTAATCCAGTGTACCCGCTGTGCTCCCAGAACCCCCCGGCTCTGGTAATGTGTCTGAAAATTAGCTGGGATCACGGCTCTGCAAACATCAAAACGCCACCCGTCAGCACTAACCCACTTCCCCAAAGCCTCAAAGGCTCACTTGAGTGCAGTCCCTTTCATAAGGTCCTTTTTGGCTCTCCAGCATCAGCCCCTTTCTCCCGTGCCTGTGGAGACACTTCACAGAAGCATTAACTGTAGAATAGGCTGATTTTTAATGCAGAATTATACAAATGGAGCCATTCTTCCATTTCATGCCTCCTGTTAGGTAATCTATGGGTATTGCACAGGGAATCAAGGTTATGTCCTTGTTGGGGTGATTTACGAACTCTGAGCATTTCATATCTCCAAACACCAAGCGAGGCAGGGACAGAAATATTCCTGTGAACGCCTGGAGCAGGAGCTGTGGTCAGAGAGCTGGGGTGATGTTTCCTTGACCCAGGCAAGACAAGGCAGGAAAGCAGGCACCATGCTCTAGGAAAAGCATCCTTGGCAGCGCGGCTGCGTGTCCTACAAAGGCATTGGGAGCAGGGCAGGTTATGAGAGTACATGCAGGAACTCTTGTGGCTCCATGAGGAATAGAACGAGGCCGCTGCATCCCAGTGGGTGACTTTCACACTGGAGCAGGAAGAAGAGGGGAAAACTTCAGTGGCAGATACTTGGCCCACGACTGTGTGTCCTCGCTGAGGTGGGGACTGCAGCCACCGCTGCAGCAGCTCTCCTCTCCATCCTGCTGTCCTGTGTGATGATCCCTGCAGTGCAGAGACTGTCCTTTGTTGTCACACTACCAACCATCACCATGGAAATGGAGCATTGCCATTCTGCACTCTGGGCTGGGCCGGGGCTCCCCGCAGGGCTGGGAGGAGGGGAGATGCACCATCCCATGGACGAGTGCCAAAAGGCATGTGGCAAGTTATGGAACAGGATCAGCAGGTGACCTTGTGGACCACTCCCACATGCCATCCACCGTGTCCCACCTCACACCCCAGGCATCAGCAGCACCATGGAGACCTCTCTCCTGAGCCATGTTCTGCTATGGGATGAGTTTTTCTGATCCCAGACCCAATGGGAACTGGGAACATACAGCACACTGTGCCATCTGTAGCCCCAGTCTCTTCCCAGATAATTATAAATTTGTGAAAATATGGCTGCCAAGCTCTTTAAAGCCAGGACTGGGACTTAAGGCACAAAGGCTGACACACAGTAGCACCTAAGTAAATTAAATGTGCCACATCACTACCTATCTATATTACAGTCCTGAGCTTCAGGATTACCTACTAATAAAAGTGATATTTAAAACAAGTCCTAAGTTCCTCCGCTGCCCCCTTCTCCCCACAAGTAATTAAACCGACGCCGCTTCCCGCAGCGGAGGGGATGGGATTTATCATGGAGGGAAATCAGCAGAGGGTGAAATAGGTTGAATCCTCCCCGCCACGCTGCTGCCTGTTGGCCAGGCAGACAGCAAACACCCACTTCCCTGGGAAAATGGGGCAGGGAGAGGTTGGGTGGGGCTGGGAAACCACGGCTCCCTCCAGGATGGCAATGCCAGGATGGAGGCAGCTGGATCCATCCCTGGGAGTCATGAGAGGGGGGCAGCAGGGCGGCCGTGGCGGGGGGAGCCACTCGCGGCTCTTCTGCCTCTGCCTTGAGCTCACCCAGCTGCAAATAAACAATTTTACCATTTGAATAGCCGCGAGTGCGGAAGGCATAATTAATACCCAGCGGTACCATCAGCCAATGTGCTGATGCGGGAGGTGCAGCCCCTGCCAGCGCCGGCAGCGCTCAGCTTTGGCTCCGCAGCGCCGGCCCCGGCTGCTCTCGCCTCCAGGCCCGTCCTTCGCCAGAGGCAGGGGAAGGGCAAAGCCCCGGCGCAGCCACCTGGGGCTGCTGCTGGAACCCGCCAGGGCAGGACCTCTCTGGTGCATCCCACACCCGCAGGATGTGGCAGAGCAATGTGGGGAAGAGTAAAATGGAGCGGGCAGAGGGCAAGCCCACGTGGCATCACTGCCAAGGCAAGAGCTGTGCCCAGTTGCTGCCAAAGTTGAGCCAGCTTTAACCCCGAGTTTCAAGTTCAGTTCCCACTTTCAAATATTTTGGACAAAAGGCCCAGTGGCTCCAGCCAGCCTGAGGATGAGTGTGAGAGCTAACACAGCAAGCTGGCCAACACTGTCCATTGTGGTCAGCCCAGCTTAGCTTGCTCTAGAGAGGGCAGGATATCTGCTTGAGAGAGTTTCCTTTGGTCTTCAGGGATTTTTTCAGACACGATTTGAAAAGTGACAGGGTGGGAAGCCCAGAAGTTTGCATGCATCTTCAGACAAAAACAAGTCTCAAAATTTTCTGTGCAAGACCAGTGCTCTGCAATTTACCTGCCACCGCTCTGGCAGCAGCAGCTCTGAGCTTAGTCTGGCTCCCCTGGGAAGACTCAGAATGCTGCAGGTTCATCTGTCAGTGTGGTGAGACAGGTCCCAGCCAAGCCAGGGAATGAACTGCCTTGACTGCTTGCGAAGGGGCAGTGGCAAGCTCATGCCCTGCATCTCAGGGTACTGCTGGAGCATCCCTCCTGGCAGCACAGCCTGGGTACCACCAGAGCATCCCCCACAGTGGGCATATCTTGGATACCACTGGAGCATCCCCTGTAATAGGCACAGCCTGGGTACCACCAGAGCATCCCCCTCAGTGGGCACAGCCTGGGTACCACCAGAGCATCCCCCTCAGTGGGCACAGCCTGGGTACCACCAGAGCATCCCCCACAGTGGGCACAGCCCACTGAGCACACCTCCCAGCACACACAGTGTGGGTATCACTGGAGCATCCCTCCCAGCAAACATGAGGTGGATATCAGTGGAGCATCCCCCTCACCACACACTGTGTGGAAATCACTGGAGCATCCCCCTCAGCACACAGAGCATGAGTACCACTGGTGTATCCCCCTCAGCACACACAGTGTGGGTACCAGTGGTGTATCCCCTTCAGCACACACAGCATGAGTACCACCAGAGCATCCCTCCCAGCAAACATGGGGTGGGTACCACCAGAGCATCCCTCCCAGCACACACAGTGATGGCACTGCTGGATCATCCCCCTCAGCCCACACAGTGTGAGTGCCACCAAAGCATCCCTCCCAGCACACACAGTGTGGGTACCACTGGAGCATCCCTCCCAGCACACACAGTGTGGGTACCACTGGAGCATCCCTCCCAGCACACACAGTGTGGGTACCACCGGAGCATCCCTCCCAGCACACACAGTGTGAGTGCCACCAAAGCATCCCTCCCAGCAAACATGGGGTGGGTACCACTGGAGCATCCCTCCCAGCACTCACAGTGTGAGTACCACTGGAGCATCCCTCCCAGCACACACAGTGTGAGTACCACTGGAGCATCCCTCCCAGCACTCACAGTGTGGGTACCACTGGAGCATCCCTCCCAGCACACACAGTGTGGGTACCACTGGAGCATCCCTCCCAGCACACACAGTGTGGGTACCACTGGAGCATCCCCCTCAGCATGGCTGTCGCTCCCCCCACCGCCGCCCGGCCGCCCCAGGCAGCAAACACTGCGTGCATTTAGCGTGGCAGGAATGGACAGTGGGGTGTTTCATCAACCCAGCAGCGATAACACTCGCCTTTTGTCCCTCCTGGATAAAGGGGGTTTGTGAGCACTGGCTTTCCAGCCCAAACTGGCATCTGTCGCCAACTTACCCCACTCATCCCCCCCTCGAGTTCCGCAGCAGTGCTGGGGACCAGGCAGCAGCAGGAGCTCCAGCTCAGACACAACTTGCTGGGAAGT